TATAGAAAACCGACTTCATCAGAATACTGCCTATTCATATCCTTTGACCACTTATCAATCTTATTGTTATAAATTTAAGTCACTTCCCTATATATTTGAAAAAGAGGCCTTCATCAGAGAAACTTGAGATTTTTTTATATTTCTTCATTGTCTAGGGTACCTTTTAAACAAAATATAATTTCCCTGATTATCTCTTTTAATTAGGTCTATCTTTGCTTTTTCATTTCCTTGAGATAATGGTTGCTATCCCTGCCTTTTTTACTTCAGCTGAAACAGAATAAATTCTGCTCCAAACCCTTATTTTAGCTTTGTATCTTTCCATTTCAAGTATGTCTCTTGTAAACATCATATTTTTGTATTCTTATTTCTAATCCATTCTGTTATCCATTTCCATTTTATTGGTGGGTTTATCCTATTCACAGTTATGATTACTAACTGTGTATTTCCTTTCATCCTATTTTTCTTTTGTTTACCTTTCTCTCTCTTTTTATCTTGCCCTTCCTCAAAAGTCTATTTTGCTTCTGACCACTGCATCCCTTAATCTGGTCTCCTTTTTTTTTTTTTAATCATTTCCCTTTTTCTTTCCTTCCCATCTTATTTCCCTGTTAGATAAGATAGATCTCTGTACCCATCTGAATGTGTGTATATATTCTCTCTTTGAACCAATTCCAGTGAGAATGAGTTTCAAGCATTGCCTGCCACCTACCCAATTTCCTTCTCTATTATAAAAGCCTTTTCTTGTATGCCTCTTTTATGTGAGAACATTTCACCCATTCTACCTTTCCCTTATCCCTTTTCTCAGGGCATCCCTCCTTCTTACCCCTTGACTTTTTTTTTTGAGATCACCAACATAATCAACTCACTTCCATGCTTTCTTTCCATGTAGACTCTTTTAAACTAACCTAATAATAATTAAGTTCTTAGGAATTACATGTATCAACTTCTCATATAGGAATGTAAATAATTTAGCTTTATTGAATCCTTTATGATTTCTCTTTCACATTTATCTTTTTATGCTTCTCTTGAGTCTTGTGTTTGTTAAATTTTCTATTAAGCTCTGGTCTTTTCATCAGGAACGCCTGAAAGTCCTCTATTTAATTAAATGTCCACTTTTTTTCCCTTGCAGTATTTCCTGAATACTTAGTTTTACTGAGTAGGTTATTCTTTATGGTAATTCTAACTCCTTTGCTTTTCAAAATATCGTATTCCAAGCCCCCCACTCCACTGCTAAATCTTGTGTGATCCTAACTGGGGCTCCACAATATTTGAGTCATTTTTTTTTCTTGGCTGCTTGTAATATTTTCTTCTTAACTTGGGAGCTCTGGAATTTGGCTATAATATTCCTGGGAGTTTTCATTTTGGGATCTCTTTCAGGAGGTGACAGGTGCATTCTTTCAATTTCTATTTTATCCTCTGTATCTCAGATATTAGGGCAGTTTTCCTTGATAATTTCTTGAATTATAATGGCTAGGCTTTATTTTAAACCATGTCTTTTAGATAGTCCAATAATTCCTAAATTATATCTACTCAATCTATTTTCCACATCATTTCTTTTTCTAATGTGATATTTCACATTTTCTTTTATGTTTCACTCTTTTGACATTGTTTTATTGTTTCTTAATATCTTGTGAAGTCATTAGCTTCTACTTGCCCACTTCTGATTTTTAAGAAATTTTTCTTTTCAGTGAGTTTTTGTACCTCCTTTTCCATGTGGTGTATTCTGCTTTTTTTTTTTTTTTTGCTTAGGCAATCAGGGTTAAAGTGACTTGCCCAGGGTCACACAGCTAGTAAGTGTCAAGTGTTTGGTCTGAGGCCAGATTTGAACTCAGGTCCTCCTGACTTCAGGGTCAGTGCTCTATCTACTGCACCACCTAGCTGCCCCTTCTATTCTGCTTTTTAAGGAGTTCTTTTCTTCATTGAATTTTTGTGCCTCATTTACCATTTAGCCAATTCTATTTTTTTCAGATTCTTTTTCTTCAGTATTTTTTATACCTCATTTACCAAGCTATTAATTTTCTTTTCATAATTTTCTTGCATCACTCTCATTTCTTTTCTTGACTTTTCCTCTATTACTCTTATCTTTTAAAAAAATTCTTCCAGAAATTCTTGTTGCATTTTTCTTTGATGTTTTGCTTGTTGCTGTTTTCATATTGTTGTCTTCTTCTGAGTTTGTGTCTTGGTCTTCTCTGCCATTGTAGTAGCTTTTTATGTTCAGGTTCTTTTTTTGTTTGTTTGTTTATTATTTGCTCATTTTCCCAGCCTGTTTCTTGCCTTTGAATTTTATGTTAAAGTTGGGCTCTACTCATCCAGGGATGGAGAGGCAGTGTCTCAAGCTTCAGGCTTTGTCATGCTGCTATTTTCAGAGGTAGTTCTGGGGATCTGCAGATTTTCAGGCTTCCAATGTGGCTTGATCCAAGGAGAGATGTGATCACTGCTCTCCTGGTCTGTGCTCTGGTTTTCACCCAGGAAGGGCCCCTGTTCTCCTGCACCTAAAAGCACTAGTGGTCTTCTCTGCCCTGGAACTACTGAGAGAGTCCTTGCTCCCTTATGACCAACCACAAGCACTCTTCTCCACTTTGGAATTGCAACCCAGAAATTTGTATGGGCAATAGAGTTGCGAATCAGTGCAAGGTTTTACATGCAGGGCCAACAAAAGGTCCCCTTGTAATCTCTTTCTGACTAAGGTTATCGTCTAATTTCCTTACTGTCTCTGGGCTGAGAGTTCCTGAAGCTGCTGCTGCTGCCACTGTTGGCAACTTCCTCCAAGGCTCATTGCTGGTGCTACCCCTGCCTGTGCTCCAGGCCTGTCTCTACCGCAGTGTCGCAGACCTTTCCCACTGATCTCCTAAGTTGTCTTAGGCTGGAAAAATGTCTCACCCTGACATTTTGTTGACTTTGTTGCTGCAGAATTCTATTTGAAGCATTATTTTAAAATTGTTTGGAGAGGAATGTTGGGAGTGTTCAACTGGGTTGCTGCCTCTACTCTGCCATATTTGCTCCACCCCAGTAGACCAAATAATAACATTTTGAAGTGTGATTGGAGCTTATGGTCATTTTGTGACCTAATGAAACTATGAGCTTCATATATTTGTCAACTAAAGCATATCTTCCTCCTCTCCTCTCCTTTCCTTCCTTCTTCCATCTCTTCTTCCCTACTTTCTTTCTTCCTTCCTCCTCTTTCTCTCCTTCCTTCCATCCTCTTTTTCTCCCTCCTTCCTTCCTTCCTTCCTTCCTTCCTTCCTTCCTTCCTTCCTTCCTTCCTTCCTTCCTTCCTTCCTTCCTTCCTTTCTTCCTTTCTTCCTTCCTTTTTATCAACCATCTGGAGAATAGCTTGGCATGGTAGCTAGACTGCTGGATTTGGAGTCAGGAAGATGGGTTAAAGCCTGCCTCTAACACTTAATAGGCAAGCCATTTGATTTCTTTATGACTCAGGCAACTTTATAGGACTCATCAATGGAGCCATGTATGAGTTACAGTCTGCATTGGTCACACACACACACACACACACACACACACACGCCCATGCCCACGCACACACACATACACTCTCTCCTCTACACATATGCATTAGAAAAGCTTCATAGAGAAGGGATTACTTGTCTCTGACATTCATTTGGTGATGTTGGGCACATTCGCAGATTTATCTACTTATTGTATTTATGTTCTATATTGGTTAACTAAAAAAACACATACAAACCTATATAGATGCAATACTAGATTATGAGGAAATAATTACATTGCAGAAACTTGGTATAGCATGTATCTAGCCTGGCACCTGAAATAAGAAACCACAAGTATGGTGCACATTCAGGAGATAGAGCATTCTTGAGCTACTCGTCATTTCTGTACACATGTAGAAAATGATGTTCCACATACCTCTACCCAGTGGCATCTTAAATGGGATAACAAGATAGATTTTCTTTTTCCCAGGGGAGTATTTGAGTCATAAAGGAAATAAGAAGTCTGGAGCTTAGTAGGCAAAGACAGTCTTTTATTCTGAGTCTCATCTTAGTTGGTGGGATTGGACTTGTTTTTATCCATCCCAGAGGAGCCCACTAAGTGGTGCAAGATAGTAGCTAAAGAGTATAAAAGAATGGACAGACAAAGTTTGGCCAAGGGTATTATTGAAGAATGTGAAGATGGAGGGTAGGGAGTAGAGATCATGAAAGGCAGTGTTGTGTAGGGCAGTGTTGTATCTTGGCCAAGGCATTTCATGTCTCTGGGCTTCAGTTTCTTCATCTGCAAAATGAGAGAGACAAGATTTTTCCTAATTTATTGTAAGTATACATCTAGCTCTAAATCCTATGTTGATCCTTGGGACTAGGGACATCAGGAATCTATAATTCCATAATTTATTTTGTACAACTGAAAACAAAAAATCTCCAATCTTAAGAGACAGGTACCAGAAAAGGTCATGGGGCACCTGGGCAGGGTCTTAGAAATGATAGCATGTTGGATATGAAGAGACAACAGAGATCATCTAGTCCAGTGGTTTTCAGAGTGTAGTCTGTGGACTCCTGGGATCCCTGAGGCCCTTTTAGGAGATCTACAAGGTCAAAACTATTTTCATAATAATAATAAGATACTTGTCTTTTAAAATACTTCTCCTTTTTCTAACTACATATCTAGATGAGACCTGATTTTCTCCAAATACTTCAACCAAAACAGTATATCACAACAGCTTGAATGTAGAAGAATTCAACTGTCTTCTACTAAGCCAGATATTAAAAAGATTTACAAAAATACAATACAATGTATTTCATAAAATACAATTTACAAGTCTGTATAAAAGAGTGGACATATATCAGATTGCACGCCATCTTGAGGAGGGGAGAATGGAGGGAGGGGAGAGAAAATTTAGAACTCAAAATCTCATAGAAGTGAATGTTGAAAACTAAAAACAAATAAATAAAATTTTTTTTAAAAAGAGTGGGCAAAGTTTGGCCAAGTTGATTAATGCCAAAGTAAGGAAGTCTTCACTCTCTCTATTCCTTTTGCAGATGACATCATCCCGATTCTTCAAGGAAGTTGGCTCAGGGACATGGTCAGGTGATATGATTGCTTGACAAAGGGGTGTAGCCTTTACATGGATTGTTATTCTTCATAAATTCTATTGTCTGGGAAATCCATTACACATAATCTATCTCAACTGGATCTCTCCCCAAGGAGAGCAAGAAGCTAAAAGAAAACCAGAGGAGTAAATGTCCTGAGTGTTGAGAGAAAGAAACTCCAAGTATAAGGAATTGAGCTTGTCCTTAAAGCAGGTGTGTGACAATCTATGTGACTTGTTCTTTTGATAAAAATGTGAGGAGTAAAGATCAAGATTCTGCATGGAGATGAAGGTGGGGGAAGGCCACAAGAAGGCTGAGAGCAATCAACAAAGCCTTTGTGTGGTGGTGGTGGTGGTGGTGGTGAGGTGGTGAACTCAAAATGGTGGCTTGGGGTAACTGATCCTGTGAAAATCCAGCCAGTTTGCCAATAGGGCCAACCTTAGAAAACATCTGGGTTTATGTACTTTCGGTTTCACACATTCAGAGGATGGTCTTAATATATTTAACCGTCTAACAATTTTTTCTTTCTGGTCTGGTGAGGGTGCTTGATTTCTTAGATGGAAAAGAGATAATATAGAGCTAAACAAATGTTTTCCTCAGGATCAGGATTGTTACCCTAATCCTGAAGAAATTTCCTTGGTGGTGTGTGGGCATAAAAGCCTAACATTTACATGTGGAAGGGAAACTTGGGTGTCATCCAGTGCAGTCCCTTCATTTTACAGATGAGGAAACTGAACCCCAGAGACAGGGGTGACTTGTTTAAAGTCACAAAGGTAGCAGAAGTAGCAAGGTCCTGAATTTTTGGTACTCCTGTGGATGATATGGTTAGAAGAGCAGCACAGTAGGAGTTGGCTACCCCCCCGCCCACAAAAATGCTTAGTGAAAATAATAGCTCACTGTTCTGTGCTTAATAAATGCTTATTGACTGACTGGCTCATTGTTAGCTTTGTAAACTGTAAAGCTCTGTCTTGTAATCTCTTAGCGACAGTTCTCTACAGTTTGCAAAGGGCTTTCTTTGTGTGAGAGAGGTAGTATAAATATTATTTTAACTTTACTGATGAGGAAAATCAAGTCTCAGAGTGAGTTTGTCCAAGGTCACATAGCTAGCAAATTTCAGAACCAGAATTCAGGTGCAGGTCATATTACTCCAAGTCTAATATGATTTCCATTACATGATGCCTCACATCTTGGGGATTTGCCTAGCATTATAGGGGTCACTTTCTTCCCCCATACTCCCTACACACATGTGTCCCTCACCAGGTCAGATACGTATATTTGGTTCAAGTGTGGTGCAGTGCCAATTTGGAAGCACTGACTGGCCAGCCATACAACTCATTGAGCCCATCTCAAGCAGTCCATTGTTTGTATACTTATGATATTTATGGTCAGAACTTCAGCTAGATTGGCAGTTCTTGGAGAGTAAAGAGAGTGCTTTGGGACTTCCCATAAATTTGTGCCTTGAACATAGTAAATGCCCAATAAATATGGATTGATTGACTTCCATTACATTAAGGAACAGTAGTCCCATATTTTTTGATCATTCAGGCACCATCAGAATAAGAATCAGAGGATTGTAGGATTTAGATTTGAAAGGGCCTTAGAGTCCTTACTCCCTCATTTTACAGTTAGGGAAATTGAGACCAAGATTAGTTATGTTATGTTGCTGTTTGAATAAAAGAAGAAAGGTCTAGAAGTAAAGAACACCAAAACACCAAAACATTGTGTCACCTACTGGCTAGCTATGGTTCTTATATAAGGCCAGTAAAATAGGAGAAATTCTATGGCCTTCAATCTCGTCATGTACCTCCCTACCATCTTCAGTCAATTCAGCAATTTAAACAACATTTAAAAAATAGCTTTATTGTTGCCTTCTGTTTTTAACACTGTACTTGGGGGACCAGTTCATAGTGTGCCAACAGTGCATGAGGCCCAAGGGGTTTTGTGGCTGAGTCAGGATTGATTCATTTGACACCAAATCTAGTGCTCTTTACACTCTACCCTTAAACTGCCCTGCCCTCATTGAATTCTACCTTAAAACAACATGAAAGCATCAAAAAAAATTATGCATAGTCAGTAATTAAAATAATTGTGTCTGACAATGTTTCCCATCTTCCACATCCATAGTCCCCACCTTGAAACTGAGAGGAAGAAAGTATGTTTCCTTTTTACTTGTAATTGTTCATTGTAATTCATGATAACTCAATGGTTTTTTATCATCTTTATTATTGTAGTCATTGCGTATATTATTATCTTGCTTTTGCTTTCTTTCCATCGCTTCATTTGAGTCTTCCTATGGTTTTTTTTTCTGAATTCCTTGTTTTAATTTTTGTTGTTGTTGAGAAAACAGCTGGGTGGTAGGGTGGATCAAATGTCAGATTTGAAGTCAGGAAGACCTGATTTTCAACCTGCCTCAGATGATTACTAGCTATATGACCCTAGCCAAGTCCCTTAACATCTGCCTGCCTCACTATCCTCATCTGTAAAATTGGGATAATAATAGTACCTACCTCACAGGGTTGCATTAGAAAAAAACTGAAAACAAGATGGAGAATGGATGAACAAATTGTGATATGTAAATGAAATAGAAAATTAATATGTTGTCATAATAGCAGCTATGTTTATATATTGCTTTAAGGTTTGCAAAGCTATTTACATATGTTATCTCATTTGACCCTACTATGAGAAAGACTGTGCTAGGCACTGGAATCACAGAGACAGAAAACAAAATATGTAATACTCACCCAAAAGGTAAAGCAAAGAAGGAGAGAATGGTTGATGATGTAGAGGGGATATGAACTATGGAAAAAGGAGATAAAGGAGCTCCTAAAGGAGCAATAAATTAACAAGCACTGTTAAAATGCCTACTGTGTTTAAGGTATTGTGTTACCTTGGGGACACAAAGAAAAGGTGAAAACAATCCCTGTTCTCAAGAAGTTTCCATTCTAATGGGGGAGATGAGATGTGTAAATAGGTACATACAAGAAGGGATGGAAGTGAGCCTTAGAGAGGAATTGTGTTGATTTCCTCAGGAAAGTAGAAATGAGCTTATCTTCTGAGAGAGTAGAATCTCATGGGAGTAGAATCTACTCATAGGAATAGAATCAAGGGCTTCAGGGGAAAGGAGAAGTTTGAAATGGTGAGGTGGAATTCATAAGTAGACTCAGTAGGATAGACTCAATCAAGGAAGAATAAAAAGATTGTTCTGAAGCACTGAGAGTCCAGATGAAAAGACATAACATGAATATACAGTGGACCCAAACACTGGTTGTGTGACTTTCCCTGGTTCTTTTTATCAGCACTGGAGTAGGTTTTGAGAAAGATGATGGGGAGGGGATGGAGGTGGTGATTTAGGGGGAGTGAGGATGGGAAGGATGACAATGTAGTAGGGGAGAGGTAGTGGGGAAAAGGTGGAGCTCAGTGTCAAGGGATCCGAAGTGGAGGAAAGTATATAGTTGGATTGTTACCTATTGTGTCAAGATGAATTAGGGACGAAAGTGAGGCCATAGTAGGGGTGATAGACTGAGAGAACAGGCAGAACAGGTCCTGGAGATTGTGGTGGGGCTGAAGAATAGGTTTAGGAATGAAGGAAAGGGATCATAGGTCATAGAAATATAGATAATTGGTTCATAGATTTACAGCAGGAAGGGACATTAGAGGCCAACCAGGCCAACCTCTTCATTTTACAGATAAGGAAATCGAGACAGAGGAGAGGTAACTGGCAAAAAGTCATAGAGATTTTAAGTGACAAGGCTGGAAAGAGAACCAAAATCCAACTTTCTTTCCATTACATCAAGCTTCTTCTACAAGTTGAAGGATGGAAGGACATACAGATGATGATGATGATGATCAAAGAATGAAATACCTGAGTTCATGAAATCATTGATTTAGAGCTAGAAGGGACTTTCAATACCATTTTGTACAACTCATTCATCTTACCGAAGTGTTTTGCCTTTCTTTGTATTCCAGGACTTAGCATAGTGTCTGGCTGTATAGTAGGTACTTAATGAGTACTTACTGATTGACTGGCAGATAAGGAAACCTGAATCCCATAGAGGTTCAGTGATGCTCTAACGTCACATAGGTAGTGGGGAGTCAAGCTATGGTTTTGAGAGATGTGGTGTAGTGATGGGGGTGGCTGAACTAGAGTGAATCTGTAGGTTATGGTAGTTGATGTTTGAAGAGACACCACTGTGTATATTGAAATTTCCAAATGTGAAGACAGAAGCTGGGGTATAGACAGTGGTGTTCTGGTAAATGCTTAATGATTGGTTCTCTGGAGGGAAAATGTAATTGTGATCCACTTTAAAATTCAATCTGCATTACCAACATTTTCTCCATCACTTTCATAAGGCTGGACAATCAACAAATCAGTAACTCAAGCTGTGATTTGTAGCATTTGCTAATTTCTGAGATGTAAGTGCTCACACTGAAAATTCAACAGTTTGAGTTGGCTCCAGCATACCCTTTGGTGTAGAGGCAGATTATCGATCTGGTGCTGAAGTCTCAGAGAAAGGAGGGCAAGTGACCTGGAGCCTGTTAGATTACTGCAATAAGCATCTGCACTCAGGTACAGTTACTCCTTTGTACCTTCATGATTTTTAACTCTTCCAACTATCAGAGGTTGAAAATAGTTCCTTTCAGTTTCCTTATTTGTTATATGGGTATGTTCCACTAAATACTCTCTAAGTTTTCCTTCTAAATACTAAATGCCAAAATGTATCATATAGGGGAAAGGATTTGGGGTTTGGAGGCAAAGATATGAATTCAAGTCCCAGATGTGACCTCTATACCTGGAAAGTGACAAACTTTCAGGCTCAGTTTTTTTCATCTATAGAATGAAAAATGAGAATAGTAACTCTTGTACTACCTATCTCATGGATTTATTGTGAGGAAAGTGCTTTGTGAACCTTAAGGCACTCTTTCAATGTGAGTTACTCAAAATTTCTATGTCCAAAACTCATTATCTTTCTTTTTTTTAACTTTAAATGATTTATTGATGGCTTTTGTTCATTATCCAAATTATTTCCCAGTATATAGCCTCTCTCAATAGAACTCCCCTTGTTTTTTTCCCACTTAATATTACTTTATTTTTTCCAATTACATGTAAAGCCAGTTTTCAACACTCACTTTTATAAGATTTTGATTTCCAAATTTTTTTCTCCCTCTCCCCCCCCCCCAAAAATGGCAAGCAATCTGCTATGGGCAATATATGT